CCGTCCATGTACCCGCTCATAGTTACATCCATATCATAAGTTGTTCCTGCTCGCTTCGCGGCATGAGGCGCCGGTACAGTATCGCCTTCGCTCACATGATTCACAGTCCGCTGGTGTTGTCATTGGAGCTTTACGGCGCACTCAGCAGTTGACTCTACTGGGCGTCGCCTGCCTCTTGTCCTGGCAGGAAGGGCGGACTCCGCGGGGAATCAAACCCCGTACTTCTGGTTTTCCAGATGCGCAGTGGTAAACGCAGACGCGTTAACCACTGCGCTATACCTCACTGATGCACAGCGTGTCCCGGTCGGCTTTGGAAGCTTCCAATGCTCGGGTCCTTGACAGTCTCCTAAATGTTTACATTCATGTGTTTACAGCTTTCCTACGACGCTATATGTATCGTTCCTCGAACTTGCATGCTTTGGACGGATCGGCCTTGATATATATATATATATATATATATATATATATATATATATATATATATATATATATATATTGGTACTTGTATACGAAGCGTCTCCCTGCTAAATGCCACAGCACGCCCCGTCTGGCGCGCTGTGACCAGCACTGGTATCGGACGACAATGAGTTGCCGTCGATCGTGACCAAGGTTCAGCCCGTCGTGTATGCAAAAGTCAGCCTCCCCAGCAGTCTGTCTGCGACGCGAGTCTCGTTGCAAGTGCTCACACAGACAGGCGCGTATTCTGTATTTAATTGCTTAGGTGTTTCAGGTTGTACACCTCTCCAGCGGCTAGAACCGCTCAGGGGCGTGGCTTGCAACAAATCGTTGTATGGTGATAACAGCTGCATTGGTTATCAGTAGGAATACAGAACGACAGCTTTGGCATTTGTCCTCACAAAAACGGAACAAAAAGCAAAACGGTTCCACGAAATGCCTTTCTTGCGACGCGTCTTGAAAAAAAAAAAACATAAAAGGATGTTACACATTTACACCTCTGATACCAAAACTGAAAACGGTTGCAAAATCATCGCATGGCGACAACATACCACCAACAAAAACATTAACAGCGAAACCGGAAACATTTTCCCTACTTTGAGACAGAAATGACAGCACGCCGCCACAGATCAGATTACTGTGCATCACCGGGGACATCAAAGCGCCCATTCATCTTCACAGCGACGTCGTCCACTCCACGGCTTGGGCCATTACATGTCCATACCGGGACATTACCGCCCACATGCCCACACTCAGGCAAGCGTTTTCCACCCGTGCCAACTCTAAGCCGCATCAGATTCCTCCTTGACGTCCACCGCGTCCGCCGCCGGGCCGTGCTTCTGCCGCACGTGCCTGCCGAGCGCGCGGTGCTCGCGGAAGTCGGCTCCGCACTGGCGGCAGCGGAACGGCCGCTCGCCGCTGTGCAGGCGCGCGTGGTCCGCCAGAGTGTCTGCGCGCGTGAAGCCCCGGCCGCACTCGCCGCACACGTGCGGCCGCTCCCTCGAATGCACCACCATGTGCGCGCGCAGGTGGTCGGCGCGCTTGAACCCGCGACCACACACCTCGCACGTGGCGGCCGGCCGCGGCGCGTGCACCGACCTCTCGTGTCGCCGCAGCTGCACCTGCAGTTTGAATTCGCGCCGGCAGGTGTCGCAGCGGTGCGGCGCCGCCTGACTGTGCGCGGTGGCGGCGTGCTGGCGGAGGCGCGCGGCTGCCGCGAATGCCAGCCCGCAGAGTTCGCACTGGTGGCGGCGCGGCGGGCCGCCGGCGTGGATCAGCTGATGCCGCGCCAGGTACGCCGCGTCCGTGAACACCTTGGCGCAGACGGCGCACGTGGGCATCTGGCCGTCGACGCAGGCGGCGCGGTGCCGGCGGTACGCGTACGCGTTGGCGTAAGCGCGCCCGCAGCGCGGGCAGCGGCAGTGCTCCGGGTCCGCGTGCACCTGCGCGTGGCCATGCGCGCCCGCCTGGGAGCGGCGGGAGACCAGACGTCAGACAGCGGCAGACGGAGAGCCGGCGGCAGTCGGCCGAGGTGCAATCCGGCGGCGGCGGGCTGTGGCCCGCGACAGGGGCAACAGACACTCCGCTTCAGACCGCTGCTGCTTACTGGACTCACAGTTACACTTCCACGCGGGCACACAAGCCTTTGCCGCGCGTGAGTGGGGTTTAGGGTGGCCGAGTACGTGTGTCCCGTCACGTCTGAAGTTAGCCTCTGGTGGGAAACGGCTGCTAAATTTGGACGTGGACTCTCTCCACAATACTACCAGACCACTGGAAATTAAACGCAAATATTATGTTCTGCATCTGAACCCCATGATGGCGCGTGCGGTGTGCGCCCGTTTCCTGTCACTCTAACAAACATTTGGTATACGATACAAACTTTTAGATAGCAAGTCCAGAGGGCAACAGACAATGCGCCCTGCACCCGCCCGCCCACAGACAAGTGCTCCTCACCAGCAGCCCCGTCCCAGCATCATCTCCGCACGGTGGCAGGCCCCGCTTCCCACTCACCCGGCTTCTGAAGACGGCAGAGCAGGTGATGCAGCGCCACCTATCACCCACCCGCTGGTACGGCGCGGCCGGCCGGCGGGCGGTGGCGGTGGCAGAGGCGGCGGCGGCCCGGCGCGGCCTACCCCGCCGGGGTGCGGGCTCGGCGGCGCTCTCACCGCAGCGCGCCTCCTCCGCGGAGGCCGGCGGCGGCGCGTCCTCGGGGCGGGCCTGGCGGGGCCGGCGCCGCGGCACCGACGGCGTCGGGCTGGCGGAGCCGCCCTCCACGAGGCGGTCACCCCCGGCGGCGAACACAGCGGGAGCCGCGGCAGAGGAGCGCGACTCTGGGAGCTGGTCCCCATCAGCGGCGGACCCGCCGGGACTCGTGACGCAGGAGTCGCACTCTGGCAGTCGACCGCCTCCGCCGGTGACGCGGGACACGGCGGCTCCCTTGCCGGCGGAGGAGCGCCGCTTGCTCTGAAGGCCGGCGCAGCGGGTCCTGTGACGGGCCAGGGCGACGGCCGATCCCAGAGTGCGCCGGCAGCCGTCACACGACAGACGAATCACGGGCTGTAACGGGGGTACAGTGCGTCATCCGTCACACGTCGTCAGGCATGCGTCACATGAAATGAAACACAATCACGACGTGGGTACGGGCTACGCGAGGTTTTGCCGTCGCCGACTCTGGTACCTGCTTTCGACGTAATAAAATGCGGGCACCCCTGGACTTAATAGTAACCGAGTGCCTGTCTCTACCAGCCCATGTACTGCTCCCGTATCACCGCCCCCCCCCCCCCCCCCCCCCAGTGCCCAATGCAGCACAGGTTACCGGTGTCGCATCACCGAAGCCCCTGCAGCCAGTGTCGCTGCCGGACTGGTCCTTCCCCTCTCCACGCTGGCGCACCTGCCTGCGCTGGGGGCGGGAGGCGCAGCCCGGGACGCGCCGCGCCGGCGCCGGCGCCGAACCGGCAGCGGCGGCACCGGCGGGCGGCGCGACACGCCCTAACGCCGGAGAGGTCGGCCCACCGCCGCTGGCCGGGTCGGCCACCGCAGCAGAACACTGTCAACGCGTCACAAACACATACACACACGTCAGAGCGGCGCTGGCGGGGCGTGCATCAATACCGCGAATTCAAGTAAGTGCTGTGATGCGCAAGTGCAGTGACACTGTGTAAGTCCAGTGATGTTGTACGGGTGAATCAACGTCACATCCCTGGAATAACTTTGAATATTACGACAGCAGTGACGTCGGATTATTACAGTAACGTAAGACCATCACGCTGGCCTCCGATGACCACAAGAACGTCACATCGCTGACGTGACCATGAACTAGCGAAGATACAGAAAGTCACTGTCACGGCGTGAGACCTTCAACCCGACGTTCGACCGCAAAGACCTCAGATCACAGCGGACGCCGTTGAAAAGATCACTCACCGGCTCCAGCACGACAGCATCACTCATCACCAGCTCCAGGCAGGCCGGGTCATCTGCCATCAGTTCCACGACATCGGTGACCAGTTCCATACAGGTGGAGTCGCCCCCGACGCCGTCCGGTCGCACCGCATCATCTGTCACCGATTTCCGGTGGTTCGGACCGCTTTCCCCAAGTCCCGAGTGGTCTGGACCGCTTTCCCCCACCTCCAGACAGTCCGGACCGCTTTCCCCAAGCTCCGAGTGGTCCGGACCGCTTTCCCCAAGTTCCAGGCGGTCGGGAACGCTTTCTTCAGGTCCCAGGTGGTCTGGAGCGCTTTCCCCCAGCTCCAGGCGGTCCGGACCGCTTTCCCCAAGCTCCAGGTGGTCAGAATCACTTTCCCCAAGTTCCAGGCGGTCCGGACCGCTTTCCCCAAGCTCCAGGTGGTCAGAATCACTTTCCCCGAGTTCCAGGCGGTCCCAGTCATTCGAGGCGAGCTCCGGGCGGTCTGAATCACTCGCCACGACCTCCAAGCGAAGTGAGTCGTTTGCCACAGGGCGCGGGCGACTCGAGACGTCCTTCGCCGGCTCCAAAGAGACAGCGGCGTTTGTCACCAGCTCGGGCCGAACATTCATGAAGGCGGCCGATATCAGGTCGACAGAGGCGCCGGTCGACCCCTCCAAGCCAGTGTGGCGGTCGCGGAGCTCCTGCAGCGTCGCCGAAAGCGCCGTCTGTTGACAGAGACCGACACTGCAGACTCCGTAGCGGCAGCCCAGGTGGCGACACGTGATGCGTGATGTGGCAGCATTTTAAGATTGTGGAGAGTTGAACTCCATGACAAGGGACTATCATTGATGATGACCTGAATCACCGACATTACTACCAGGAACATGATACATGTAGCGTGGCTCACTTCATGCAACTGTGCATAACCAATTTGCATCATTACAGAACATAAATTTCAAGTGACTGTGAACATTCAGGACCTGTTCACAGTCCCAGCCAGCTGTTCCACATGCAGGCATCCCCACTCCAATGATCATCTCCACTGTCACCGCATCTGATGTTACCTTCAGCTGGTCAGCCGATCTCAGCAGCTGATCACAGCACTGGCAGATCCAGTCCACAGGCACCATGGTTTCCAGTGCCCAGTACAGATGGGTTGTGTACCAGTCCACTGATTCCTGCCATGGAGTGACATTTGAGAGGTGGCTGATATGAGGTGCTGTTGTAGCAACTTACAGGCTAAACAAAAGCTTCCTGCCATATCAACAACTGAGTACTGTTTCAGTATGCATGCATATGAGCCATCTCTACCACATGGACAACCAGTGCCAAGGCACGGCTTTTATTTAATTTGACTGAAGAATGCAAGACCATGTGGGTCAATGCTGAATACTGTGAGTGAGGCCCTAAATGCTTTGCTTGAAAGTTATTAAAACATACCTGGAATCATATCAAAATCTAAATGTCCTAGCAGCCAAACCAAAAGACAAAACAATCTGTCATATTAACATAACTGTAGATAAGCCCATAAAAGCACAAATGTCAGGAACAGTGGCATATTGATAAATGGACCTGAGAGACTGCACCTGGTTTTCAATTTGAGTAAGTCCAATAGAGGCAGAGTATTTGCACACACTACACTGGGTCTCAACTGGTTGGGCATCATGGCCTGAATGATGCATCACAATATTCATCACTCTGTTTATCCCATCAGATGAGATGCTCTGAAAGGTGACAGCAGGTCAGTGGTCAGAAGCAGTATCCCAGGTGAGCCACAGGTAAGCACAGGCCACAAAGTATGATGTAACACCTAATGAAGCACTTTTCATGAATAGTGCCTCTGGGTGTTCACAAAAATGGCAGGGATGTCAACTGAAGAAGTTGGGGCATTGAAGTGTCATTTGAAACATTAACTACAACAGACAGGTTGCACTCACACAAATACATCATTGATCAATACTTTCATGGACAATACTCATTGCTGTTGAAGAAAATATCAGGAAGGCCAAATAAAACTCATGCTGAGCCCTAAAAGACCACAATTAATAGTCAATGCAACTGCTGGTCTAATTAAGTAAATATCACATTTCCAGTTCCTTGCTACAGATAACACCTGTGACTGCTGATGAGAACAGCAATTAGATGACACAGGAAAACATCATATGGCACCACAAATTATCATCTGCAAGATTCTTTGTAAAAAGTTGAATGTAGGTGCAATGCAAACATTGAATGCTCAAGCAAAAGGGCAAAACTGGAAGTGCGTTGTAAAAACTAACCCACTTACATGTGTGTCAGTCTAAAAGGCCCAGAATAAATAACATATTGGAATTACAACGTTGTAGAGCTACGTAGATTAAGATTAGCCACCAACTAATTGTCAACATCATTGTGCGAGCTAGAGGTAAAGTTTACAGGGAGTGTGATAATATTTTGGAGTTCATAATGGTCCGATAGCCTGCCACAGCAAGCATGCCAATATCAGAGATCGTCTTCCCTCGTAACGTACGTAACGCTACCACGATCTGGCGTAATCAATACATCACGTACACCCCCTCCCGCGCGTTGACCTGCGCGACGGAGATATCGGCGTTTAACTGCAGCATTGATTGAAACATAAGCGCTATGTTTACATTACAAAAGGTTGAGCAGCACGCAACTAAATTATCCAGCGGCAACTGCTAGTAAAAATACGTATGAGGCTGAACGGCCTCTGAAGGTGAAGACTGGTCACCTATTTCGTTTGCAACGTTTGTGGTGTTAAGAATGATCTTGTCCTAACAATCTGTCTTCCTATACAACAATGAGCCTCGATATCATCTTGATAAAATCCTGTGTGTTGCTGGCAGTGTTTTTGCACTGCTGTGCGGTTGATGGTTAGTGCCCAGTAATTCGTTATTCCAAATATCTCGCACAGATGTGCATGATGGACCACGGCTGGCCGTCAAAATTAAAATGATAGATTGACCGAATGGACGGAATTTTTCTTTCAGATGTTTCAGATCCAGGATTGCTTCCCTTACTGATCCGTCATTCGGATGCCTCGGATGCAGGTTACGGCCAAACAAGCCATGCCAACGCGTCATGCAGGGTCGATCTGGGTCAGCTGGAAAACCTCGCCATAAATCAAGCTACCCTAAACCAACCAAACTACCCTCTGTCAGTCCGCATCCTGGGTGTAAACAATGTTCACTCAGTGACCATAGGCTATCAGCCAAATACCGCCTCCAACGTTATCGTTCCCGTGCAATTTGCAATCAAGCGCCAGCAAAACAAGTTTGCGGGAGTTAATGATACAAGCGCATTTGCTTTCTTACATAACTTTGCATGCACTTTTCAACAGCCAATTAGACTGATCAAATGACCACGACGCTATCAGGCATGTCATGCATGGGTCACAATGTAGCCGTGGCCCCATTTCGACAGCGTTCGGGCACATTTTCTCTTTTCAATAATGGTTTTTATACTATATTGAGGGAAATAGAAAACAGCAGGAAAAATCTATGTTCTTTTCAACTTTGTCCGGCGTTCTTGCAGAGTCCGAAGACCAGTACACTGGTCACCACACCCGTCACCTTACGTCATCACTGTCCCGGCTAGTCACAGGGACTGGTCACCACACCCGTCACCTTACGTCATCACTGTCCCGGCTGGGTCACCGGGCCTGGTCACCACCCCCGTCACCTTACGTCATCACTGTCCCGGCTGGGTCACCGGGATGGTCACCACACCCGTCACCTTACGTCATCACTGTCCCCGGCTGGGTCACAGGGACTGGTCACCACACCCGTCACATTACGTCATCACTGTCCCGGCTGGGTCACAGGGACTGGTCACCACACCCCCGTCACCTTACGTCATCACTGTCCCGGCTGGGTCACCGGACTGGTCACCACACCCGTCACCTTACGTCATCACTGTCCCGGCTGGGTCACAGGGACTGGTCACCACACCCGTCAACTTACGTCATCACTGTCCCGGCTGGGTCACAGGGACTGGTCACCACACCCGTCACCTTACGTCATCACTGTCCCGGCTCGGTCACCGGGACTGGTCACCACACCCGTCACCTTACGTCATCACTGCCCCGGCTGGGTCACCGGGACTGGTCACCACACCCGTCACCTTACGTCATCACTGTCCCGGCTCGGTCACAGGGACTGGTCATCACACCCGTCACCTTACTCCCGGCTGGGTCACAGGGACTGGTCACCACACCCGTCACCTTACGTCATCACTGTCCCCGCTGGGTCACCGGGATGGTCACCACACCCGTCACCTTACGTCATCACTGTCCCGGCCGGGTCACCGGGACTGGTCACCACATACGTCATCTTACGTCACCACCGTCCCGACCGGGTCACAGGGACTGGTCACCACACCCGTCACCTTACGTCATCACTGTCCCGGCTGGGTCACAGGGACTGGTCACCACACCCGTCACCTTACGTCATCACTGACCCGGCTCGGTCACAGGGACTGGTCACCACACCCGTCACCTTACGTCATCACTGTCCCGGCCGGGTCACCGGGACTGGTCACCACACCCGTCACCTTACGTCATCACTGTCCCGGCTGGGTCACCGGGACTGGTCACCACAACCGTCACCTTACGTCATCACTGTCCCGGCTGGGTCACAGGGACTGGTCACCACACCCGTCACCTTACGTCATCACTGTCCCGGCTGGGTCACCGGGACTGGTCACCACACCCGTCACATTACGTCATCACTGTCCCGGCTGGGTCACAGGGACTGGTCACCACATACGTCACCTTACGTCATCACTGTCCCGGCTCGGTCACAGGGACTGGTCACCACACCCGTCACCTTACGTCATCACTGTCCCGGCCGGGCCACCGGGACTGGTCACCACACCCGTCACCTTACGTCATCACTGTCCCGGCTGGGTCACCGGGACTGGTCACCACACCCGTCACCTTACGTCATCACTGTCCCGGCCGGGTCACCGGGACTGGTCACCACACCCGTCACCTTACGTCATCACTGTCCCGGCTGGGTCACAGGGACTGGTCACCACACCCGTCACCTTACGTCATCACTGTCCCGGCCGGGTCACCGGGACTGGTCACCACACCCGTCACCTTACGTCATCACTGTCCCCGCTGGGTCACCGGGACTGGTCACCACATACGTCATCTTACGTCACCACCGTCCCGACCGGGTCACAGGGACTGGTCACCACACCCGTCACCTTACGTCATCACTGTCCCGGCTGGGTCACAGGGACTGGTCACCACACCCGTCACCTTACGTCATCACTGACCCGGCTCGGTCACAGGGACTGGTCACCACACCCGTCACCTTACGTCATCACTGTCCCGGCCGGGTCACCGGGACTGGTCACCACACCCGTCACCTTACGTCATCACTGTCCCGGCTGGGTCACCGGGACTGGTCACCACAACCGTCACCTTACGTCATCACTGTCCCGGCTGGGTCACAGGGACTGGTCACCACACCCGTCACCTTACGTCATCACTGTCCCGGCTGGGTCACAGGGACTGGTCACCACACCCGTCACCTTACGTCATCACTGTCCCGGCTGGGTCACAGGGACTGGTCACCACACCCGTCACCTTACGTCATCACTGTCCCGGCTCGGTCACCGGGACTGGTCACCACATACGTCATCTTACGTCACCACCGTCCCGACTGGGTCACAGGGACTGGTCACCACACCCGTCACCTTACGTCATCACTGTCCCGGCTGGGTCACCGGGACTGGTCACCACACCCGTCACCTTACATCATCACCGTCCCGGCTGGGTCACCGGGACTGGTCACCACACCCGTCACCTTACGTCATCACTGTCCCGGCTCGGTCACCGGGACTGGTCACCACATACGTCATCTTACGTCACCACCGTCCCGACTGGGTCACAGGGACTGGTCACCACACCCGTCACCTTACGTCATCACTGTCCCGGCTGGGTCACCGGGACTGGTCACCACACCCGTCACCTTACATCATCACCGTCCCGGCCGGGTCATCGGGACGGTCACCACATCCCAAGCACAGCCGCCGCACTGCCGAACGGCTGTCGTAAACGCTGTGTTGGGTGCTTACCAAGAAAAAAACACGGGTATGATAGTTATGTAATATATATATATTGACAATATAAACAAGATATATTGTTCTTAAGTGTGGAACCACGCCAATGTGGAAGCTCTGAGTTCTTACAAACCACTTCTACAACGGATACGGTATACGACACCATGATCAGTTTGCTGATTCACCGATACCTTGGACAGGTACTGGTGTTCATTCATTAAGAACTAATACCCACTTGGGTTTTGCGATGTAGGTATGTGTAGCGTATGCAACAATACCAACAATATTCCCTCTATCTAAAATTTGATTGACTCGTAACAATCACAGAACCATCAGATATGACTGCATTTCAACAACCCCCCCATAACTTTCCATAACCCCCCATAACATAACATAACAACCCCCCATAACTTTCGGCAAAAACGTTCACATCACAGGTTCGGGCAATTACAGGTTCGGGCAATTACATTACAGGTTCGGGCAATTCCTCAACATCCCAGCAAAACGCTTACACAAACCCACATACAGCACCGACCCCCACAGTTCGCCAAAAGATCAGGCAGAGCCCGAAAAAGACGGATAGAAAAGATCACCGCTGTGCACATTGCCACGTGCCACGTGCACGAGCAGACTATCGCGGGCGCGGCCCGGAAAAGGCACATCGCATACCAGCCCTGTCGCATCCCACGGCGGGGCAGCAGGCTGCACTACACCACCGTCACCACCTAACCCACTTCTGGCGGACGCCTGACTACTCTACTTCGATGTCGTTTGGCTGCTGTTCGTTCGATGTTCGTGCCGCCGTCATCAAATGCAGCACCCCGCCGGCAGCGCCACCGCGTGACCGCCGTCATCAAATGCACCACCCCGCCGGCAGCGCCACCGCGTGACCGCCGTCATCACATGCGGCACCCCGCCGGCAGCGCCACCGCGTGACTGCTGAGACCGTGAGGCCGCTGCGACCGCGTGGACGACCGGAGGGCTCGACGCAGCCACGCTATCACACGCCGCCACGACACCCACCCCTGTCGCAATCCCAGGGCGGCAGAAGACAGTCCGAGGCGCCGGCCAACGTCTTCAACGTAAACGCCAATTTACGTAAAACGTAAGCGCATGCGCCCCATTAGTTACTCTCCCCCACGGGCATAATGAAATATATGATGGAATACTTCATAATGGAATACTTCATGGCGTTCATAGAACAGGAACATCTTCCGCCTGCTACAAACAGCTGACGCAGTAAATTCCATATCACAAGATCCTGATACAGAGAATGTGACCAACAGGCACCATAACTACGCACGGCCGCCACCGTGCCGCCGTCGGACCCTGCAGCGGCGGGCCGGGAATCCAGCCTAAGACCATGCGTCTAGACCTCGGACCAGGCGTCCAGACCTCGGACCAGTCGTCCAGACCTCGGACCAGGCGTCCAGACCTCGGACCAGGCGTCCAGACCTCGGACCAGTCGTCCAGACCTCGGACCAGGCGTCCAGACCTCGGACCAGGCGTCCAGACCTCGGACCAGGCGTCCAGACCTCGGACCAGTCGTCCAGACCTCGGACCAGTCGCCCAGACCTCGGACCAGTCGTCCAGACCTCGGACCAGTCGTCCAGACCTCGGACCAGGCGTCCAGACCTCGGACCAGGCGTCCAGACCTCGGACCAGTCGCCCAGACCTCGGACCAGTCGTCCAGACCTCGGACCAGTCGTCCAGACCTCGGACCAGGCGTCCAGACCTCGGACCAGGCGTCCAGACCTCGGACCAGGCGTCCAGACCTCGGACCAGGCGTCCAGACCTCGGACCAGTCGTCCAGACCTCGGACCAGTCGTCCAGACCTCGGACCAGTCGCCCAGACCTCGGACCAGTCGTCCAGACCTCGGACCAGTCGTCCAGACCTCGGACCAGTCGTCCAGACCTCGGACCAGGCGTCCAGACCTCGGACCAGTCGTCCAGACCTCGGTCCGTTCACTAGCACCCTGAGGCCGTCTTCAGCGGCCCTGCGCCTCCTCCGACCCGGCCGCCAGCGACTGCACGTCCTCTGGGACAGGAGGCACATCAGACGGTCACAGGGCTGCCTGGAGGCCGGGCGTTGCCCACTGACTAGCAGACGACGCGAGACCAGCCGTCTCTGGCAGGGGCAGTCAGCCGTCTCTGGCAGGGACAGCCAGCCGTCTCTGGCAGGGACAGCCAGCCGTCCCTGGCAGGGGCAGTCAGCCGTCCCTGGCAGGGACAGACAGCCGTCTCTGGCAAGGACAGCCAGCCGTCTCTGGCAGGGACAGCCAGCCGTCTCTCGCAGGGACAGCCAGCCATCTCTGGCAGGGACAGCCAGCCATCTCTGACAGGGGTAGCCAGCGCACATGGAATGGAGTGAGATGACACGTGTCGGGCGGCAGAGTTGACACAACACCGACCAGATGACGTTAATCCGAGAAGACCTTCATCCAGTCAAGTGCGATGCCCACAGCCGTTTCAATTCGCACGCAGCCTTGCAAGTTAAGACGGAGAAAGAAGGCGACACGGACGTCCAATACCGCAGCACACTAAAATGGACACATGGTTTTGTCAACGACAAATTTCTGAAACGGCCACCGCGAACGCGTGACAGGCGTTTTCCTTGCAAGCGCCCCAGGTCCGCTGAGAAATCACCTGTCCTGATGAATGCTTTGCGTCGGGGGTCAGGGAGGGAGAGGTCGCCTGTCCTGCGGGGTCAGGGAGGGAGAGGTCGCCTGTCCTGCGGGGTCAGGGAGGGAGAGGCCGCCTGTCCTGCGGTGTCAGGGAGGGAGAGGTCGCCTGTCCTGCGGGGTCAGGGAGGGAGAGGTCACCTGTCCTGATGGATTCCCCGGGTCGGGGTCGGGAGGGAGAGGTCACCTGTCCTGATGGACACCCCAGCTCGGGGTCCCGGAGGGAGGGGCCACCTGTCCTGATGGACGCCTCAGCTCGGGGTCCCGGAGGGAGGGGCCACCTGTCCTGATGGACGCCTCAGCTCGGGGTCCGGGAAGGAGAGGCCACTTGTCCTGATGGATACCCCAGCTCGGGGTCCGGGAGCGAGAGGTCACCTGCCCTGATGGATACCCCAGCTCGGGGTCCGGGAGGGAGAGGTCACCTGTCCTGATGGACACCCCAGCTCGGGTTCCGGGAGGGAGATATCACCTGTCCTGATGGATGTCCCCAGATCGGGGTCCGGGAGGGAGAGGTCACCTGTCCTGATGGATGTCCCAGATCGGGGGTCGGGAGGGAGAGGTCACCTGCCCTGACGGACACCCCAGGTCGGGGTCCGGGAGGGAGAGGTCACCCGTCCGTGCCGCCGCCCAGCCCCACTGACCGGCCGTGGCGCGCAGCCGGCGTGACTCTTCGTCGATCATCCGCAGCAGCAGCCGCTTGTCCTGCCCCTCCAGCAGCAGCTGACCCCGCAGACCGGCCGCCCGCCGCTGGTGCGTCAGAGCTACATTGCGGCCGAAGTACACCAGGATCCTGTCGGCACCAGGACGGCCGTGGCTCAGCGCACGGGTGCAGGGAGCTCACCACCGACAGCAGGACAGGCCACATTTGGTGGATGTCGCGTGGCCGCCCTCAGGAGCACCGATGTCAGCGCGTGACTAAACTGCCGGCATCCGCGATCGGTGAGATGATGCTGATGGTGGTCGCTGTTTGTGTCAAAACGGTGTTCATGCACACAGCGCCTGACTGTGGAACCGGAACTGTGAACACACGCTGATGCGAGTTCGGTTGGTGGGCTGGGTGTACAACGTACACCATGAGCAAAACATCGGAAGAAAACCAGGCGAACATGGCAGAACATTTACTGACAGAATCGTTTACGGCATAACACGTCAATGTTCACAGGCTGAAACTGGCTTGACACACTGACATACAGAAGCTTCACAAACTGACACCAACTGCCAGACGTGTCGGAGTGTGGACCAGCGGTGTGAGCGACGACTCACCCGACCACGAGTGTGATGTACGGAGCACCGGTGTGAACGGCAACTCACCCGAGCACGAGTGTGATGTACGGAGCAGCGGTGTGAACGGCAACTCACCCGAGCACGAGTGTGATGCACGGAGCACCGGTGTGAGCGGTGACTCACCCGACCACGAGTGTGATGCACGGAGCACCGGTGTGAGCGGTGACTCACCCGAGCACGAGCGTGATGCACGGAGCACCGGTGTGAGCGGTGACTCACCCGAGCACCAGTGTGATGTACGGAGCACCGGTGTGAGCGGTGACTCACCCGAGCACGAGTGTGATGTACGGAGCACCGGTGTGAGCGGCGACTCACTCGAGCACGAGTGTGATGCACGGAGCACCGGTGTGAGCAGCGACTCACCCGAGCACGAGTGTGATGCACGGAGCACCGGTGTGAGCGGCGACTCACCCGACCACGAGCGTGATGCACGGAGCAGCGGTGTGAACGGCAACTCACTCGAGCACGAGCGTGATGCACGGAGCAGCGGTGTGAACGGCAACTCACCCGACCACGAGCGTGATGCACGGACCAGCGGTGTGAGCGGCGACTCACCCGAGCACGAGCGTGATGCACGGAGCACCGGTGTGAGCGGCGACTCACCCGAGCACGAGCGTGATGTAGACAACCACACCCGGCGCTGTGATGTAGGAGAGGTAGTGCAGCAGCTTGGGGTGCCAGCTGTTCAGGATGTCCGTCACTACCTGCCAGGGGTGCCGCAGCTGCTGGAACGGGCCGCAGCCGCTGGAGCTCCGCACCCTGCCCGGCCGGGGTCGACAGGTCAGCGGGGCGGCCGCCGGCGGCACGCGCGGACGGCACGGAGCGGCGCCGGCTGACACAAACCGCATGCCGTCCGCGCGTCCATGCAGTCTTCCGCGCGAGGTGCGGACGAGTTTCAGCTGAGTCAGGACTTTGTAAAGCCTTTAAATGGTTTCGGCTCGTCACCAGCAGAGGTCAAGACAATCAGTCTGACACGAGGTCAGTGGTAAGTGACTCGGACACCAGGTCAGGGCCGGTGGACCCGACAACAGGTCACTGACGGCCGACCTTCACATGAGGTCACGACCGAGCGACCCAAACACCGGGTCACATCCATGCTGACCTGACATCCGGTCACGAGAGACCCACCTGAACACCACCACCCCGACGGCCACCATGGAGGCTATCATGGAGACGAAGCCCACCAGCTGGAACACGGTCCGTGTCTGCGCGGCCCGCCAGGTGTTCGCGGCGGGCTCACAGCTGGACAGACAGGTGAACTGAAACACGGCACAGCCGGATCACAGCTGGACAGACAGGTGAACTGAAACACGGCACCACAGGATCACAGCTGGACAGACACGTGAACTGAAACACGGCACCACAGGATCACAGCTGGATAAGCAGCTGAACTGAAACACGGCACCACAGGATCACATCGTGACAAACAATTTAACTGAAACACAGCACCATGGGATCACGGGCGGACAAGCAGCTGAGCTGAAACACGACACCACCAAATAACATCTTGACAAACAATTTAACTGAAACACAGCACCACGGGATCACAGGGGAACAAGCAGCTGAACGGAAACACGGCACAGCTGGCTGACTGTTGAACACAAACAAAATATAACTATTATTGCTGTCAACTACAGCCAACTGGCTTATTGCTGAACAAAGGTACAGCTAGCCTGCCTACAGTGATCTTCAATACGGAAAATCTGGATCAAATGTGAACCGAGCGGGGCACCGTGTCAGCGACGATCGATACAGAATGGAACGCGCACGGCCGACCCACAATTGAAAAGCCAAACGGAAACAACGCGACAGACTCTTATCTGAAATATGACACCAAACAGGAAGTTTCACTTCCATCCACTCAAAACCCAACCTCATAACCCAAACCAGAACTTTTTGTGCAGTCCAATTCACCTTCTTAACGTAGAAGGAGCAGAAGAGCTTGATGGTGCCAATGACACAGAGCAGCGGGCTGAAGTAGAGCCCCAGCCAGACAAGCGACTGTGCGTACACCAGGAACATGGTGTTGTTGGCTAGTTCGAACTGGGGACGCCCCAGCCATTGTAGCCCAGCCCTGTAGAGGTCAGGAAAGGTCAGGCGGGGTCACGTGGAGGTCTCGTGCAGGTCAGGGACAGACGAGCGGATCCGAAGTCAGGGAGAGGTCAGGGGGTCAGACAGAGGTCACGCGCAGGTCAGGCTGAGGTCGAGCGGAGGTCACGCCACCGCCCGTCTGACAATATGATACGGGGATACAAAATTACACGCAAGGCATTGAAAAAGTGAAGGAACACCAAGATCCATTTTATTCCCTGACCCTTCTGCGTGACGAAACAGCTGACGACCAGATCTTTCTGTCACATGATGCGCCAGATAAGTAGCCTGACACATCAAGTGACTGATGACCTCCCACAGTCGACTTTCACACCCGTAGCGAGTTGCAGGGCGTCTCGTCTCTCGGGTATTGTGAGCGTGAAGAGCGCCCCATAAGCCACAGAAAGACGAACAAACAACAGTCTCAGCAACCGACCGTTCAGCAACACGGCGTCTCGCAGCACCCGTTCATGAGGTGTCTACCAATACACGAACGCCGAGCTTAGGCGCGAAACAAGGAAATACCCGCCCTCCGTACCTGAACAGCTGGTTTCTGGCCACCTCGCACACGAACGAGAACGCTATGGTGAAGAGGAACTCCATGATGACCAGCTGGTACAGGACCTGACCCAGCTCGTTCTCCCAACACTGCAACAGACGGTCGGCGAATAGCCTGAAGCACATCGCTCACTGCCCGACGCTGGCGCACCCCGTCTGCCGTGCGCTGTGTTAATCTCCTGCCTCGCACGGTTTCCGCTCCGCCCCCCGCCCCTCCCCCCCCCCCCCCCAATACAGGCGCGGGAACATTCACAATGACATACGGGTGCAGGCGGCGGGAGATAGCGAAAGTTTTCACGGGCCTCTAACCAACAATACACTCAGAGGAACGTGCTTCCTTGCCGGTATCAACAGCAGCCATATGTTCATGACATCAAAATTAAATAACACAAACAATGTTAGTGATAGATAATGGCCTCACGTCGGAGCGTTCATCGTATAACTGTATTTCGTGCACAATGAGTACAGGTATGATCAGTTCAGCCGCTCCTTGCTCGAGTCACGCGCAAGTGATGACAATCCAACGACCATCCCCGTTGCGGCCGGGCGAGCCGGGGTCAGGGGTCAGGAGGCCGAAAGCAAGGGTCAGAGGTCAGGAGGCCGACAGGCGGTGTCAGGAGGCCAACAGGCGAGATCAGGAGGCTGACAGGCGGGGTTATGAGTCAGGAGGCCGACAGCAGGGGTCGGGAGGCTGACAGCCAGGGTCACACGTCCGGAGACCGACAGCAGGGGTTAGGGGGCAGGAGGCCGACAGGAGGGGCCAGGAGTCAGGAGGCCAACAGCAGGGGTCAGGGGTCAGGCGGCCGAGCGTCTCACCTGACGTCCGGTCCGCTTGTCCAGCCAGAAGCCCACCGTCACGCCTAGGATCACCACCTCGAGCATGATCGTTCTGCAACAGCCACAAGGCCTGAACCGGCGAGCGTCCAAGTGTCGCGGGTTCGACTCCTGCACGCGTCACATTTCACTGTTCTTCACATGGGGACTCTATGCGTATGCTTATGATGGACATGTGTGTGTGGGAGGGGGGGGGGGGGCGAACGAACCATTGCCACACAAATCTAGCAGAGCAAGTTCTGTAGCGAGCGATTCGACACGCACCTGCACAAACTGTGCGGTGTGCAGGTGTAAGTAGGTGTAGCACGGTGTACTGTACTGCACAGTGTGCGTCACTGGCTTACACTCGAGCCCAGAGTGCTCCGATCGACCAAAGCATTCCAGACAACCGGGTGGTCCACCACCTGAGTGACCCACCACCGCAACACACGCGATACCCTCGTGCCCGGCGTGACCTTTGGTCCCGCCTGACCACTTGTGTCGCCGCGCAAACGTCGCCGGAGTGACCCCGTGGTCCCTGATCTCCCCCAAGCGACCCTTCGGCCCCCACCGGGGTCACGTGGCCACCGCCGTGTGAACGTCCCTCCGCAGCTCCACGGCGCGAACAGCTCCACTCCGCAGCTCAGCCGCGCCGTACCCGCCACCTACCTGGCCAGGGTGACGTACACCTGGTACCGCTGCTGGGAGTACAGCTCGAGCCGCGCCAGCGCGCTGAAGGCGTACGGCAGGACGTACAGCATCACCGTCACCACGACAGAGAAGGCGGCCAGCCGCACGAAGCCCGGAGACACGTTCTGTGGTAGGTTAGGTCGGGTCGGGTCGGGTCGGCAGGTCAAGGTGGGGGTACATCGGTCACCACTATCGACAAGAATCTCTCAGCTGAATTACCGTTCGCGCTTATTGAGGGCAAGAAGCCCAGCTTAAGCAAAACACTTTTCTCGAGGCGTCATACAAGTGGGAGCGTGATCAGGCATGTAAATTTCCGTAATTGGCTCAGGTCCACCGACTGGACAACACTCACCTGCTGCTGCTGGAGGAGGAAGTGGGTGAGGAAGCCGACGCCGACCAGCACGCCCGTGACGATGGTGTTGACCAAGATGCGAATGGGCCAGACCAGGCTGCTCACCCCTGCTGACTCCTGACCGCCGGCCTTCAGCTCCCGCACGGCGTCACACGTCATCTCCTGAACACAGGTCAGGCGTGGCAGGTCAGCTCCTGATACACGCGGCAGGTCAGCTTCTAACACACGTGGCGGGTCAACTTCTGACATACGTGCAGGTCAGCTCCTGACACACGTGCAGGTCAACTCCTGACACACGTGGCGGCATCGACTCACTTCACGAGGCACCTCATGGACAAATGTTACCAGATGACGCCAAGAGACCCGACAACACAGTCCGGGCGCCATCACGGCAGCCTTCCGAGGGCGCACCTCCCAGTCGCCCCGCCCAGCGCCGGTCTCAGCCGTGACCAGCGGTGCCAGGGTCCGCCGCGCCGCCCCACTCGCCTGCAGCTCATTGAAGATGGCCCGGTGCCGGAGCGCCGCCATCTTCTCCGAGGCGATGCTGAAGTCCCAGCTGCACAGCACCTTGTTGAAGAACACGTTGCGGGAAACGGCGGCTGCATCGATGAAGTTGGCCCGGTACAGCCGAACCGTCCTGACCGCAGACCGTGCCGACAGTCAGCTGACGTCAGGCAGTCAGCTGGCCGCGCCGGCAGTCAGCTGACCGCGCCGGCAGTCAGCTGGCGTCAGGCAATCAGCTGACTTCCAGCCGCTTCCAAGCGGTATCACTAGGAATTCTTGGTGTAGAGGGTTTCTCAGCAGCGTTAACAAGCGAAGACAGAAGCTTGCGGTTCAAATCCACAACGCTAATAAAGCCTAAGTCGTCGAAAACTGAGATTTGATAGAAAATAAAGTCGGCGAAATCGGCATGGAGAGGAAAACTTCCACCACACAAGCAAACTTAACACAATGTTTCAACTGCACTGCGAATACCACTTTTCATGCAAGGCGCATGCCGGTGAGGTCACCCACTCCCGCTGAGGCCGAGGAGTCACGTGTCAGCCTGTGAGGAGTCCTGAGTCATATGTCAGCTGTGTACTGAACTCCAGCTCAGGTCAGGAAGAAGGTCAGGTCAGGAAGAGAAGCGTGGCCAGCGTTAGTTCGGGATGGGACTTTTGTGGCGCTGAGTGTTGCTTTGAAAAGGAGGAGAGCGAGACAGTACGGGCAAGAGCGAGCAAGAGCGCGAGCGAGAACGCGACAGGGACAGAGACAGAGACAGAGACAGAAACAGAGAGACAGAGAGACAGAGATAGGGAGACCGAGAGGACAGAGACAGAGAGGCAGAGAGACAGAGAGAGAGAAAGACAGAGACAGAGACAGACATACAGACAGACAGAGAGACAGAGAAAGAGAGAGACAGAGAGACAGAGAGAGACAGAGAGACAGACAGAGACAGAGACAGAGACAGGCTGAGACAGAGACAGACAGAGACAGGGAGGAGGAGGAAGAGGTGAATATACCGAGGCGCGGGTCGAGGGAGTGAAGGGCACTACTTACACCACGGCCAGCAAGCAGAGCTGCAGCGCCAGACACAGCGTGACGGTGAAGAAATAGGCGTGCGGCATGTGGTATACGAGGCCGCCCATCAGCGCCAGCGTACCGCGATAGTAGAAACCATAGAACAGCTCGGTGGCCACCAGCCAGCCCTACAACACACGGGCCGTGACTGCGGCGTCACGGGGGCAGCGACGTCAGGGATCGGTGAGTGACGTCATGCGAACAGGGGAGGGGCCGCGGTGCTCCAACAGCAAAATTCAGTAAAAAAGGCACCACAAACAGACACCGTACACACCAAGATGGCAAAAATACCAGGGCAGTCGTATAGAAACATCAGTGGGCGGCGTGGCAGGTGACATTCCACAACACCGCAAGAGCAGTGCCGGCACAGAATGCAGAAACGCCTGTCCAACTGTCGGACGCTTATCCAAACGGGCAATGGTCGCTGGGGTTACATGGGAAGCATGGCCGTGCGAAAGACGGATGCCAACTAGTGACATCGGGTACAAGAACAAATCAACTACACGGAGTCGCCTTTTTTGTCGCATCCTCACGCCAATCGTGCTCGCGCTTCGGTCACCAGCGGCGCGAGCACGCCTGGACTGGGTAGCTTTCATACTGGATGACTCTTGAGGTCCGAGATCCAGGAAATCCACAACACGGAATCCACGAGGACCGAAGATGCAAGCGCAAGGCTTTGTGTTGCGCAAGCTGTCAAAACGACGTGCTGTGTAAAAACACACCCGGACAACAGCCGCCCAACACGGCGTCCAAACTCCTCACTCTTCCCGCAGGCCAGCCGCGGCGGTCTGCAGCAGGCCAGCACCATCCTCCGCGAGACACAAAGGCGGTCCTCCACGTGGACGTCCACTGCCGGTGCGGCGACGCCCTGCCGGCAGCCTTTGACCCGCCGCGGAGAAGGCTGGACGGCGCCTCCGGGGCACGCACCTGGCCGGTGAACAGGTTGCCGAAGTTGAAGGCGTCGTTGCCGCCGTACGGCGTCAGACGGGCGTCCGTCTGGTTCGGGGGTACGCCGTAGTAGCTGGCGAAGGCGTCGCGCGGCGCGCGGCTCCGGAGCAGCAGCTGCGGCGCCAGCAGGAACCCGACTCTGACGGCGCCGAGAGCGCTGGTGTCAGGTTTGGAAACGTGCTAACCGGACGGCCGCAGCACGGAAGGCGATGGGTCTGCTGGCGCGGAGTCCCAAACAATTACCTGTTCCAAGCGCAAGTTTGTTTGCATCGTGTGTGTCATTGGGGTTTTACGACGTACCCAGCTGCTGAGACTACATGGCGTCACCTGCCTCTCACCCCGGTAGGAAGGGCGGGCACTGCGGGGAATCGAACCCCGTACCTCTGGTTTCCCAGACGCGCAATGGTTAACGCAGACGTGTTAACCACTACGCCACCGGCACCCCCGCGGGTTTGCATTGCACTACACCTAATCCTTTCGACAACTGTTTCGCTCCGTAACTGAACCGCGTCGCGACCTTCCCAAGGGTCCACTCAGTTTCGTCAAAACCGTCATTTGAAAACCAGCGACAGGTCAGCGATACTGTTGGTCGAAGACCGCGTCCTAACCACGCAATCCCTTTCGGAACGTGATATCATCATCGCTACAGGTCATCTGTTTCGCGTTACGGCTGTTTCGTGTTATCTGTTTCGTGTTACGTCATCTGATTCGTGTTACGGTCATCTCATTCCGGGCGTTCATCCGCTCACATCACCGTCTTCACCCCCGACAGCGTCCCTCCTCGCCTTCACGCCCGACAGCGTCCCTCCTCGCCTTCACCCCCGACAGCGTCCCCCCCCCCCGGACAACAGCGCGCTGGACCCCCGAGCCCCGACTCACACGATGACGACGGTGGCCAGGTTCATGTAGAAGAGCGACTCGAGGAACTGGAAGTAGGTGGCGACACCGCTGCCCAGCTGTCCGCGCACTCGCTGCAGGTGACCCTTCCACAGCTTGAGAAACTCGGCCAGGTCGCCCAGCGAGCGGCGGGCCTGCCGGGGGGAGGGGAGGCGGGAAGGGGTCAGGGCGCTCCCCCAGGACGGGCAGGCACCGACACCGCACACCTGCCTCGGGACGTCAGACATTTCTGGGTCTGAGACCGGGACGTGACGTGACGTGACGTGACAGAACGAGGTGTAGCATGGCGTAACATGACATGATGTGACGTGGCATTATGTGACATGACGTGACGTGGTGTCGCGTGGCGTGACATGATGTGTCGTGACATGATGTGACGTGGCATGATGTGACATGACGTGACGTGGTGTCGCGTGACTGATGTCGTGACATGATTGACGTGGCATGATGACATGACGTGACGTGCGCGGGGTGACATGATGTGTTGATAGTGGCATATGTGAGACGTGACGACGTGGGTGTAGTGTTGGCGTGACATGATGGTGACGTTGTGTAGTGTGGCGTGACGTGACGTGACATGATAAAACGTGACGTGGCGTGGCGTGGCGTGGCGTAAAGTACCTAACAGGCGCAGCGCAGAACCACCCCTCAGCCGATTCACCCGCCTCACAGGCTGCCGACACTCATCCCCGCATTGCATGGCCTTCTCAATATCCGCACCCGGGAGCGATACGCGAAATGTTCCTCTTACACGACTCTAAAACGGTGGTGCACTTGTGTGATGGTTTGGGTTGAACAATGCAGGACTTCCAAGCCAGCACCAGCAGCAGCGAGCGGCGAGTGGCGACGGCCGCACGTCCCCACCTGCACCAGGGAGTAGTGGGCGGAGCCAGCCGCGTCCTCACCTGCACCAGGGAGCAGTGGGCGGAGCTAGCCGCGTCCTCACCTGCACCAGGGGGTAGTGGACGGAGCTGGCCGTATCCTCACCTGCACCAGGGAGTAGTGGACGGAGCTGGCCGTATCCTCACCTGCACCAGGGAGTAGTGGGCGGAGCTAGCCGTATCCTCACCTGCACCAGGGAGTAGTGGGCGGAGCTGGCCGTATCCTCACCTGCACCAGGGAGCAGTGGGCGGAGCTAGCCGCGTCCCCACCTGCACCAGGGGGTAGTGGACGGAGCTGGCCGTATCCTCACCTGCACCAGGGAGTAGTGGACGGAGCTGGCCGTATCCTCACCTGCACCAGGGAGTAGTGGGCGGAGCTAGCCGTATCCTCACCTGCACCAGGGAGTAGTGGGCGGAGCTGGCCGTATCCTCACCTGCACCAGGGAGCAGTGGGCGGAGCTAGCCGCGTCCCCACCTGCACCAGGGGGTAGTGGACGGAGCTGGCCGTATCCTCACCTGCACCAGGGAGTAGTGGGCGGAGCTAGCCGCGTCCTCACCTGCACCAGGGAGTAGTGGGCGGAGCTGGCCGTATCCTCACCTGCACCAGGGAGCAGTGGGCGGAGCTAGCCGCGTCCTCACCTGCACCAGGGAGCAGTGGGCGGAGCTAGCCGCGTCCTCACCTGCACCAGGGGGTAGTGGACGGAGCTGGCCGTATCCTCACCTGCACCAGGGAGTAGTGGGCGGAGCTAGCCGTATCCTCACCTGCACCAGGGAGTAGTGGGCGGAGCTGGCCGTATCCTCACCTGCACCAGGGAGCAGTGGGCGGAGCTAGCCGCGTCCTCACCTGCATCAGGGAGCAGTGGGCGGAGTTAGCCGCGTCCTCACCTGCACCAGGGAGTAGTGGGCGGAGCTAGCCGCGTCCTCACCTGCACCAGGGAGTAGTGGACGGAGCTGGCCGCGTCCTCATCTGCACCAGGGAGCAGTGGACGGAGCTGGCCGTATCCTCACCTGCACCAGGGAGTAGTGGACGGGGCTAGCCGCGTCCTCACCTGCACCAGGGAGCAGTGGGCGGAGCTGGCCGCGTCCTCACCTGCACCAGGGGGTAGTGGACGGAGCTAGCCGCGTCCTCACCTGCACCAGGGAGTAGTGGACGGAGCTAGCCGCGTCCTCACCTGCACCAGGGAGTAGTGGACGGAGCTAGCCGCGTCCTCACCTGCACCAGGGAGTAGTGGGCGGAGCTAGCCGCGTCCTCACCTGCACCAGGGAGTAGTGGACGGAGCTAGCCGCGTCCTCACCTGCACCAGGGAGTAGTGGGCGGAGCTAGCCGCGTCCTCACCTGCACCAGAGAGTAGTGGGCGGAGCTGGCCATGCGGGAGCCGAGGCCGACCCGGCGGCTGCTGTGCCGGTCCCGCTGCTCCAGGCGCTGCTTCACCTGCCGCTTGTAGGCCAGCGGCCGCGCCATCTCCCGCAGCGTGTTGCTGGCCGGGGGAGGAGCAGGTCAGGTCAGGTCAGGTCAGGTCAGAGCGGCGACACGGACGGGAGACGTGCCGCACTGCACCGGACCTGACAGGGCCTAGTCACGACAGACGGTGGACTGGACCGCATCTAGGCGCGATAGCTGACGAACGGGACCTGGCGTAGCCACGACAGCTGACAGACGGACCTTGACCTAGTCACGACAGAGGGTGGACTGGACCGCATCTAGTCACGACAGCTGACAGACGCGATCTGACCTATCCACGACATATGACGGACGGGACCTGACCTAGCCACGATAGATGACGGACGGACCCTGACCTAGTCATGACACAGGGTGGACCGGACCTGACCTAGCCACGACTGACGATAGACAGGACCGGGCCGGACCAAGACAACAGCACAGAACACAGCCGAGTCCCACCAAGGCAGCGTGATGTGATGCAGTTCAGCGCCCGAGCTCATCTGCCCCGCTTAGCGCGGACTAGACCGGTAGCGCCTGACCTGGCCTTCCCCAACCTAGCCTGGCCTGGCCTGGCCTGGCCTGGCCTGGCCTGGCCTGGCCTGGCCTGGCCTGGCCTGGCCTGGCCTGGCCTGGCCTGGCCTGGCCTGGCCTAGCCTAGCCTAGCCTAGCCTAGCCTAGCCTAGCCTAGCCTAGCCTAGCCTAGCCTAGCCTAGCCTAGCCTAGCCTAGCCTAGCCTAGCCTAGCCTAGCCTAGCCTAGCCTAGCCTAGCCTAGCCTATGAAGAGCAAACAGCCGCAGAAAGCGCAGGCAAGCTGGGCCCGGACGGGATGCGGACGTTACAGTAAGGTCCTGCCTGCTCGCGAACTCACAGTTCCACCTCGCGGGCCATGTTGGCGTCCGCTATGGAGCCCTCGCCCTCCTGGATGGCGTCCACCACAGCGTCCACGTCGTCACCGCCGCTGGGGGCAGGGCCAGGTCATCGCTCAGGGAGGGAACGCGAACTGCTGCGGAGAGCACGCCATCGCCCAGGGAGAGAGCACGGCTGCCGCAGAGAACACGTCATCGCTCAGGGAGAGAGCACGGCTGCCGCAGAGAACACGTCATCGCTCAGGGGGAGAGCACGGCTGCCGCAGAGAACACGTCATCGCTCAGGGGGAGAGCACGGCTGCCGTAGAGAACACGTCAGGGCTCCGGGAGAGAGCACGACTGTCACAGAGGACACGTCATCGCTCAGGGGGAGAGCACGGCTGCCGCAGAGAGCGCGTCATCGCTCAGGGAGAGAGCACGGTTGCCGCAGAGAACACGTCAGGGTTCCTGCCGGCCATACCAACAAGGAGGCTTTAAGCGCTTTGCAATTATAACACAAGCACCGCAAAGATACTTGTTCAGCGTCCCAAGGACAGACGCTGTTTCCGCAGAACAGCGCCCAGTCATCAGAAAACGCTCGTGAATCACGGCCTGCAGGGAGCAAGACCTCTCTTGACGCTTGAACGAACCTCTCAGAGAACATCGCGACAAACACACACCCCGCACCACCACAGCTCGCCACGAGCGGCGTCGGTGACTATCCCCGCTTGTTGCCCTTGGGGCAGCGCCGTACCGCCCTCCCCCCCCCCCCCCCCACTCCCTGGTGCCGGTGACTATCCCGCCACCGCCCGGGGGGCAGCTCCGTACAGCTCTCCTCCCTGCGTCCGGCACCGGTAACTATCCCCGCTGTCAGCCCTGGGGCAGCTCCGTACAGGCCCACTCTCCCTCCCCCTGCCCCAGCATCGGTGACTATCCCCGTCGTCGCCCGTGAGACAGCTCCGTACAGCCCCTCTGCCCCGGCGCCGGTGCCTCCCGGCCGCCGGCACCGGTGACTATCCCTGTCGTCGCCCGTAGGACAGCTCCGCACAGCCCCCTGCCCCGGCGCCGGTGCCTCCCGGCCGCCGGCGCCGGGCGCGGGCCGGCTCCGTACCGGGCCACGTCGATGGCGCCGCGGATGGTGCCGTGGTAGGAGCGCAGCGTGCCGTCCGGCCGATCGGAGCCGCTGCCGCGCCGCCGCCGCAGCGTCCGCGTCCCTGCGCCACGGCACACGCCCGGTCAGCTGGGCGACGACGCGCGCCACAGCCTGGGTCAGTTTCAGCAGGACCACCGGTGGAACACAGCGACCACGCCGCGCAGACACCGAGGAAGCGGAGGCAGTGCCCGGGCAGTCGCAGGAGCACGCGTCACAGGGCGTACGTGACGACGGGCGGAGAGAACCCAGACCGACTCGGCTCCGGCACGGATACGGGCACAGCTTCGCTGCAGACCCAGACCAGCGGCTGTGTACACACACGACGCTCGTGAACACACGGCAACCACAGACGTAACTCAGATCATGACGTCACAGTCATGACGTCAGTTGGCCCACGCGTGTGTCCGTGACAAGCGGTGCCCACGCGTCCACGGCCACGTCGTGAGCGGGCGGCACAGGAGTTTCTGGAGAGCAGGCCGACTACACAACCGCTCCGAAGGATGTCACAAACGACCAACAACGCATATCGCATCCACCTTTGTCGTATCTAACGATTCACAAGAGCAATTTACGAACTCCAGCTTGAGAAACCGGTACCAATGACATCCGAGACATTCCCCGACGTACGTTATTGCAATGAATCTTGATATCACAATTTGCAATCATCAATGCGGTCGGCTACTAGCATTGCGCACCCATCGTTGGCGAGCCCGACAGGCACAGGGCAGGTATACGCACCGTTTGCGGATCTGGAAGGCATGCCTCGGAGCAGGGTTTGCGTGAAGCTCGAGTACTGGCGGCCATGCTGGTAGAACTCCTCGCCACCACTGCAACCACGCTGTGTCAACATGTGTGCCGCAGTGCCGGCCAGGTGTCACAGCGAAGTCAGACACGGCCCACGCATCGCGGCGCGGTTCCCGGGCCGCCACCGCTAGACACCCCCGCCAGCTGCTCCCGCCAGCGTTCCAGCCAACCGCTCCCGCCAGCGGCTCCCGCCAGACACTCCCGCTAGCTGCTCCCGTCAGGTGTTCTCACCAGCTGCTCCCACCAGCCGCTCCCGCCAGAAACTCCGCCAGCTGCTCCCGCCAGCTGTTCCCGCCAGCTTCTGTCGCCAGCTGCTCCCGCCAGCCGCCACCGGCCGGTGTGGGCGTCCCACACACTCGCCAAGGATATATGGCTCACAATTCGCGAGGGACTCCACCGATACTCCACTGGAAAACTACTTCACTTTCCATAACCAAGGGAACATCATACTGATGCACTCCTACCAGAATGGGGTGCTGGTCTGATCAGCTTTCTGGGGGCAACACCTCACACTTGTGTCACAGCAGCAGGGACTCCCGCCACAAGCAGCCCAGCCTCAGCCCCGTCGGCGGCGGCATGGGAGCAGCAGCAGGACTGACGCTTCATGTGAACTTCTGCTGTGTCTCTGCAGCTCACCGTGTTGGGGCGCACTCCTCCATCTCCACAGCGTCGCCGTCCTGGGACGACCAGCCCTCTGCCGGTGGTGCCATGGCCACCCAGGCGGTGGGCACCGACGCGTCACGACGCATCGGGACCTCCTGCGGCTCAAATGCTGCGTTGTTGTAATAGCGCGAGCCTGCAGAAGCCCAGCTGTGTCAGGATGAAGATGGAGTATGCTAAATCAGAGAAAAGGGACAAAATGGGGCATCAACTGGTACAACATTACACTGAGATGTGCCCCAGAATTGTGAAAGTGAGTCCTGAATCTCAGGGGAGCACTTCATGATGGGATCTGGATATGCATCTTGAATCCATATTTGATATTCATAAACATGCTGGCTCATCACCTTGCAAAAATGAAGAGGACCAAACCATGACTGATCTATGCTCCATTGCATCCAAAACTGCAAAGAAGTGACAATGAAAACTGTATTGTCACTCATTCAGGGGTAAAACTACCATTTAGATCATAGTTTATATTATGGCAAAATCCTACAAGTCAAATACAAATCAATCACAGATTCAAATCGGATACAATGTTTAGATGATGGTTGGTATCATAACTGTTACCACAAACATGATGCAAACAAAAACACAACATTTCCAGAGTTTAAAAGCAATGATTTGGAAGCAGCATCCTCGCTTAATAAGGAGCACAACTAATCTTTAGACCATGGTTGTTGCCAAAAGAAATGCTGCAAACTAGATCCAAGTCAAAACAGGTGCAGGTGCAAAGGTGGTATGTCAGTAGTACTGCAAGGCAGCAAGGTTGTAGTTTTGTATTCAGTTGGAGGAAAGAGGGAGGGGGGGGGGGGGGCTCCAGCCTGCCCCGACCTTCTTTGAGAAGAAAGAGGGTGTCCTCCCTGGATAATCCTGTTCCTCAGTGTATGTTGAGGGCAGGCTCCATCATCTTTCACTGCTGAGCCTCCTCTTTCTACCTGAAACTCATTTTATGAAACTACACACTTGCAAGACAACAGCGGTCAGGCATCATCATGCTAGAAACCTACACATAGCCCAGGCATTCCTATTTACATGCCTGATGCTGGTTTCACCTCAGGTAAGGATGCAGGTTCCCAAAGAATTACAATAGAATTGATGCTTCTCTCCCACTTTGAGCTCCAACTGCCTGCCCCCCATCCTCTCAAACTTTGAGAAAAAGTGGGCTAATTTCTAAGAGGAACTGGTTTGTTGTTGCAGCTTTGAGGTACATTTTGCCACTTGCACTGTTCTGTCCCTATTATCATGCCATGAGACTATGCCCCTGACAATAAGAATAACCACCACTGATGTCCAACAAGCACTACAAGTGATGCAGGAGGTAACTCAGGCCAGAAACAGCAAACACTTGCCAGATTAGGGGGAAAGGGACTGCAATCATCAAAAATTGTTATTCAAGTTAAGCAGGTCATAAAACAACTCTGGTCAAAAGTCCATTCACCCAAGTGGGTTGGTGGCAGCAGGTTTTTAAGGAGGTGGGGGTGGGGAGAGGGGAGGAGCAACATGACTTTTGCCTTGTGTCTTTCCATGCACGGACATAGGAGCAGCGCTAAGTATTACCTGCAGGTTGGTAAAGCATATAAGATTACACTCTGCCCAACCACCTTTTAATCATGTACATATTAATGTGATTAGCCTCCACCATACAGCAGCACTCACCCATTATCCTCAGCCCACCAGACAAAGAACTGTTGGGCACAGCCTGAACTCCTGGCTTTCCCTACAGTCGGGATCTTAGTTCCATAAATCACAGGATTTCCCCATAATATCATCTGTCAGATAAGATTGCAGGGTCAAGTTGCGATAAGTGAGGTTCACTCGGTCCAACGCTACTGAAATGGCTTGAAGGACGCAGGCAAATACCGAACCAGTCTGTTGTGCTAGGACAGAATTTTAAGAATAATGTACAATGAGCATAATGCAGGCCATTTATATAGAGCAATGCATCACCACGTACCCCAAATGTATCACAAT